CACTATGGAAATCAATATGGAGATACCTCAGAGAGCTGAGACTAGAGGTTCCATTTGACCCAGGCATCCCTCTGCTGGATATCTTTCCAAAACAACTAAAAGAATCATATCACAGTGATATATGCGCAACTCTGTTTATAGCGGCACAGTTTGTAATAGCTACAACTTGGAAACAGCCCATTTGCCCATCAGTTGGAAACTGGATAAAGAAGATATGTTTTTTCTATAAAATGGAATACTACTCAGCCACAAAGAATGAAAAATTTGATTCATTCATAGGAAAATGGATACATATTGAGGACATACTCCTAAGTGAAATAAATAAGTCACACACGTGTAAATACTGAATAGTCTATCTCTCTGGTGTGAAAAAAAATAATAGTATATAAGATCCTAATGAGATCATTGACAATGTGAAATAGGAAGAAAGGGGCTAAAGGTGTAGGGAAAGTGGGAAGGGTAGGGGAAAGGTAATAAGGGAAAAGAAAAAAATATGAGAAAAATGAAAAAATGGAAATAAAGTGTTTGTAAAGGGGGAGGGGAGGAGGGGGTGAAGGGAGGGCATGGACAAGGGGAAAAAATGAGAACCAAGACCTGTCATGTAAAGGTACAAGATCCCAATGGTGAATGTGACTGTACTGTATACCTAAAATGTACCAATAAACTCAATAAGAAAAAAATCAAAACAAAACAAAAAAAACAAACCAGAGCTTTGCAAGTGTACTCTTAGAATATTATTATAAGACTAATTGGAGGAAGTGCGTGCTGGTGCAGTTAAGAGGGGTAAACGCTGGTCCTGGGAGAGGTGAGAGCAGTGATGGCGTGGATGACAGAAGGTGCCATGTTTCTCCTTTCTGAGGGCAACTCTCAGCTTGATCCTATCAGCTGGCTTCTAGCCTCTTAGCAGCACAGGCCAGCAGAAAAGCAGTGCTAGAAGAGGCTCAGCAAAGCGGCCCTGGGATCAGCCCTCTCTTAGGAGAGCCTTAAACATCCACCATGTCCATCACTTTGCATTAATCTCAAAGAACCTGTGAGGAGGGCTGAGAAATATTCATCTGTATCCTGTGGAAACAATTTTGTTTCCTTTCCAAGGAACTGACCCCATTTCCCCAATTTATATTAATTTTTTGACTTAAGTGGCAGTTATTCTTCATTAGCTTCCCCTGCAACTCATCCTCCTCCCGCTCTGGGTCAGAGAGGCTGACACCCAGGCTGCAGCTCCTGGTTTTCTTGTCTGTTGGATCCAGGTTGGGCTGTGCCAGTGGAGAGCCCTGCAGGAGGCTGGAGAGTGATTGAAGCCTCCCCAGCACACACACATCATTCCTGTTTGGCCCTAGGCCTCTGTCGATAAGTAGCAGCATCCTTTAGGATGGCAGTGCCTGTTCCTCAACAGTCCCAGTTCTCAGTGTCCCCTCAGCCCTATGGGTCATAAGGTCTTCTTTCCAAGGTTGGTCTCTAGCTGCCTCTCCACTTACTATTTGTTCCTTTAACCCTACCCATACCTTAACTCTCTAAGAAGTCCCTTCAGTAAAGTGTCGTTCTTTGAATATCTCATGAATTCTGTTCCTGTCAGAATTCTGACCAACCTACCATCTTTGAATTCATTATTCTCCCGTAGACTCCAGGAAGTCATGCAAGTACAGTACATTTACTCAATCTAATTTCCTGAATATAGTGTTGTATGTTATGTTATATATATTTTTTTCCTCATTGAGTCTATTGGTACATTTTAGGTATACAGTATAGTTACATTCATCATTGGGATCTTGTACCTTTACATGACAGGTCTTGGTTCTCTTTTTTTCCCCTTGTCCCTGCCCTTGTTCCTGTTTCCAAGTTTTAGCTATTACAGACTGTGCTGCTATAAACATTCATTTGGAACCATAAGACTCCTAGAATAGCAAAAGCCATCCTAGGCAACAGAGACATGGTAGTGGATATAACAATTCCCATTTTGAAACTATACTACAAAGCCACTGTGATAAAAACAGCATGGTACTGGCAAAGAAATAGATCTGAGGATCAGTGGAACAGATTGGAAGACACAAAAACAAATCCAGATGTACTCAGCTACGTCATCTTTGATAAAGGAGCTGACCATCCCCACTGGAGGAAAGATAGCCTCTTTAATAAATGGTGTTGGAATAACTGACTCTCAACCTGCCAAAGATTAAAACTGGACCCTTATCTTTCACCATACACTAAATTAAAATCCAAGTGGATTAAATATCTAAATATTAAAACAGAAACACTAAACTTGCTGGAAGATAAGTTAGGCAGAACTCTTAAAGACATTGGCATAGGAAAAGATTTTGTGAACAAATCCTCAGTAGCACGGGAACTAGCAGAAAGAATCAACAACTGGGATCTCATCTTATTAAAAAGCTTCTGCTCTGCCAAACTCATGGAATGTCACTAAAGTGGTTCTCAGTGACAGATTCTCTTATTCATTCAGTGAACATAGATTGTTTGCACCAGTTACTCTGCCAGGTACAGGAAATACAATGAATTAAGGAGACAAAAACTGTGTTTATAGATTTATATTTTAGTAAATAAAATAACAGCAAAATACAACACACTTGAGCATGTACTGAATAGTTTCTGTGGTGTGAAAAGCTAAAAGTGTAAATAAAGTTCAAATGGTATAATTGAAAGTATGAAATAGGAAGAAAAGGGCTAAAAGGGAAGTGGGAAGGGAAGGGGAAAGCAAATAAGGGAAAAGAAAAAATGTGAAAAAAAGAAAAAATGGAAACAAAGTCTTTGTAAATAGGGAAGGGTGAAGGGGCTGAAGAGGGGTTGCAGGGGTATGGGGAAAAAATAAGAACAAACTCCTGTCATGTAAAGGTACAAGATCCCAATGATAAATGTAACTGTATTGTTTGCTTTAAATGTACCAATAAACTTAAAAAAAAAAAAGAGCAAACACTTGTATAGTGATTGTGATGTACCAGGCTCAATTCTGAGCATTTTAATGATAGCTTTGCTATTAAGTATATTCTTTTTTCTATCTGTAGTCTATACATTTGAAATATTAAGAGTTTCAGTTACCTAAAATTTACCAATAAATTCATCAGAAAAAAAAAAAAAGAGTTTCAGTGACTCGTCCAAGGCCACATAGCTATGAAGCAGCAAAGTAGGCATTTGAACCAAGCCTGCTTGGCTCCAGATCCTGCCCACTAACTACTATGTTGGTTAATTTGAGACTATATTGGCAAATTTGAGAACTGTTCTCCTGATCAATTGGATGAAATAGATAAATCTCTAGATGAATTAGATAAATCGCTGGAAAAATATCTCCTGATCACTCAAGCTAAAGTACCCCTCCACACAGTTATCCACTAATCACTCTAGTTTCTTTTTTCTCTTTATCTTTTTTTCCTTTTCTTCTTTCTTTCTGTATTGAGGATTGAATCCAGGACCTCACACATGCTCTGAAAAGGGTCTACCACTATGCTACGTCCTCAGTCCTGTTTTGTTATTTTATTTTCTTTAGACCATTTATCATTATGAGAATTACCTCATTTTATCCTTATCCTATCTATGAATTTATCCATTCATCCATGCTTATTATGTAGGCCTCCCCCAGCTAAAATATAAGCTTCATGAGGGTACTTCACAATTACATTTGTGTTACCTAGAGCACTTCTGGAATGTAGTAATAAATATCTAATGCTAAATGAAGAAACAATATGTGTACAAATATTTTAATATAGATTTACCTGTACAAGAAAACATCTGGAGATGATTAATTGCCAATTAAATTCACAGCTCACCCATCTCTGATAGATGAAATGTTAGATAGTTTACTTTTTCATCTTCATTTATTTTTAGATAGATAGTGATTGAAAGGTAGAGAGACAGAGGTAGAAGAGATGGAGCAGTGAAGGTATCAGAAGGTCACATTCTCCCCAGAGTGAGCAAGGCTGACACTTTGAAAGAGCACAGGATGGAAAGTCCAAATGTAACCAGGCTGTCTTTACTTTCAGACGCTCAGAGTTTGAGTCGAGACTGAAAAACTATGGCAAGGAATTAGAAGGCTTTAGGAAGCACGAAGTGATGACCACAGAAGAAATGAAGCACAATGTCGAAAAGCTTGCTGAGCTCTCCAAGAACCTCATTCAGGCGATGCTGGAATTTGAGGTTGGGATCTTGAGATGAGGACTAATGACTGTACTGGCCTGGTGATTCTGAGCTTTGGTTTTGTATTTTCCCAGTGACACTGTCAGGTGATAGTATTGATTGATTGTCGAGTACTTTTACTGGTACAGTATTTTCAACTGCCTTTTTTCACACTCCTACATTATGACAGATTTTTTGGTAAGTCATTGTGCACGTACCCCCAAAAGAAATTATAATAGGGTATCTTACGTGTGCTTATGTGTGTTGAGCACTTATTATTTACTCAGCATTGTACCTAGGGCTTCTTGTACAATACCGTACCTTCCTTAATGGCTGTAGCAAACCTGGGGCCTAAGTTATCCCCATTTACCCTTACCTAAAGTAGGAGAGCTAAGGCTTGGAGATGCTGGCTAACTTTTCCCAAATGTCAGCTACTGAGTATTTTTAAGCATTAAAGTTCTTAACTTTGAGGCAAGTCCACATAAGAAGCCTTAAGAACAGTCACGTAGACAGCTAGAGGACATTTGGAAACTGTGAAAATGGAGACAGAGCACATTGGGCATAGGTGCACTGGGAACAAACATGATGGGGCAAATAGCAAATTATCCCAGTTTCCATATCTCAGCTGCCGTAGCCCTTGGAGGGATCTTCCAGCTGGAGTCCTTGCCTTTTTTTCCTCTTGTACTCTCCAAATGAATGAGCGTTTCCCTCCACTTGTTTGTGAAGGTGCCGTGGAGGCTTCTAGGGCTGGGGAACCAGCTGCCCAATATGTAGCATGCTCCTTTGTTTTGCAGTTAATCAATAAGGAGGAAGAGCTGTTGGAAAAGGAGAAGAGTATCTTCCCTCTTCTGCAGACTTTGATAACCACCAAAGCGCCTTATGAGCAGCTGTGGGTGATGGCCTATGAGTTCAGCACCAAGTCCGAGGAGTGGATGAATGGTATGGTGTGCTCTCGCTGTGCTGGGACAGAACGGGGATGGAATGGGGATCTAGCCAGCCAGCTCTGAAATAAGATTTGATCTTCAGATTCGTGGTGAACTTTTCTTCAAATCTGACACTCTGGATTAAGACAGCCAGCCAAAGTTTTTGTTTGTTTGTTCATTTGCTTTTGGTACCGGGGATCGAACTTGGGACCTTGCACTTGTGAGGGAAGCGACAGCACCACTGAGCTAAATCCCCAGCCCCTGTCAGAGTTTTTTGATGTGATAACACAGGAGGTGTGAAGACAATGTCTCTGCTTCCAGCTACTTGGGAGCCTGAGGCAGGAGAACTGTGAGTTTGAGATCAGCCTGTGCAACTTAGTGATATTTGTCTCAAAAGTAAACAAAAATTAAAAAGGACTGGGGATGTCACTCAGTGTTCCCTGGCTTCAATCTCCATTACTTCTAAAGAAGAAGAAAAACAAAGACCCAGACCTGTTTCCAGGGTAAAATAGAATCAGCAGCACCCAAAACCATGGACTGGCAGGAACTCAGAGGCAGGTAGTGGGAGGAGAAGCTGGCTGTTCCTCTGGGCTGCTGCTTTAAGAAGGGCCAGCATCCCAGACCCCTGTAAACTTTTACTAGAAGTGGGGAAATCCATCAACTTGAGTTTAAGGCGTCTGTACACATCCCAGTAGGACTATTACTTAGTAATTGAGTGCATTAAGAGATGGGTTTGGGGGATGTGATTTCTATTGGGGAATAATTGATGTGTAGATTATGATTAAAGCTGAGGATAATGTCACCTGAGGAGAATGTTTAAGAACAGAGGATAAAATCTTAGACCCTTAAATTTATTTCTAGTGCTTAAATATTATAAATACACCTTGAAAACTTTACTGCTGTTGTTCTGGATACAACTATGATTATTTTCTTAAGATGAATTCCTGGGGCTGGGGATGTAGCTTAGTGGCTCCACACCTGCCTTGCAAGTGCAAGGTCCTGAGTTTGATTCCCACTACCAGAAAAGAAAAAAGAAGAATTTTTAAAAGCTGTTGGGTGTGGTGGTACACACCTATAATCTCAGCTACTCAAGAGGAAAGTTTGAGGCTAGCTGGGACAATTTAGTGCGACCCTGTCTCAAAATAAAATTTTAAAAGTGGGGGCTAGGGAGAAGGTCTGGGGATGTAGCTCAATGGTGGGGCACTTACCTAGATTTAATCCCCAGTCCTGAAAGAGAACAGGACAAATAAATAATAAAAAAGAATTCCTGAAAGTGAAATGGCTAGATCAAAGAGTGTATTGAGAAAATTTTTAGGATTTAAAAAATGTTTTATACTGTCTTCAAGAAAGTTGTACTAGACTTTTTAACTCAGTCTTCTAGCAGTTTTTAGAAGTACCCATTTGTCATATCCTCAACAAAACTGTGACCTAACAGCTTTGAAAAGCTGTCTGAATTCTGGAACAACTCAGCTTTGTTTTTTCCTTGACTTGATACTTAGAATGCTATCTTTGTTTTCATTCTTTCCCTTAATTACCACTGAAGCCGAATGTTTATTGTGAAGTCCAGTTCCTGTCTCATAAGCACCTAAGAAAAGTGCTTCAGAGTGGGAAGTACTGAGGTCTCCTCAGCTTAACTACACAGAACCAAGCAGGTCACTTTCTCCTTGGTGCCTCACTGTTGAGTGGAGCAATGAAGAGGCAGTCCTACCTAATTTATTCGTCCCTTGGGTGAGGTTCCTGGTGACTCAGCCACACCCTCCCAAGCAAACATGATAGAGAGATGAATCCTCTCTATCATGTAGGTGCTTTTTTAGCAACTATAATAGTCGTGGTGCATAGACAGTACATACCTTTCTTTTCCTTTTTTAAGTTTTTGATTCTTCAACAATAACAACAAAACATTAAACTTGGTGTAGTGGCACATGTTTGCAGTTCCAGATACTGGGAAGGCTGAGACAGGAAGATTGCTTGAGCCCAAGAGTTAAAGATCAGCCTGGTCAGCACAGCAAGACCCTGCCTCAAAAGAAAGAGGAGGAAGGAGAGGGAGGAGGGAAGAGGAGAGGGGAGGGGAGAAAAAGAGGGAGAAAGTTAAAGGGAGGGTGAGGGGAGAGAGAGAGGGATAGGGAGTTGATGTCCTGTGCTCAGTGAATGAGGCTATATTCAGCAGTGTAGAAAGATTTTGGCTGAATGTGAAACCCAAATGCTACCAGTTCGCTGCAAAGGAAAGCAGGGAGAAGGAAATTAATGTTTTGGAGTACTTTTCTTTTAAAGGAGGTATCATTCTTTGTTTTTTAAAACTAATTGCAGAAAAATTGCCAGAACTATACAGAGGGCTCCCCCACCCACACTTACGCACATTCTCCAGTTGCTATTTCACTGTATCTGTGGAGCTCATTCTAATATTATGACAACATTTAAAACTGATCATGAGGATCAGCACCCTCATGGACACCCACTGTGTGCCAGGCACGCTGTTAGCTGCCTTACTTACGTTGTCTCACTTTGTTGTCACCATCACCTTCAGGTATCTGTGATCACCACCGTGTCACAGGCAAAACTACCGAGGCTTAGACAAGGTCAGTCACACACCCACCGCTTTATATCAGCTCTGTGGAGCTTGCAAATCCAGACTCAACCCTCATCCTTTTCTTGGTTTTGTTTTGTTTTTAATGTACTGGGGATAAAACCCAGGGCCTTCACACTGAGCTCCATCCCCAGCCCTTTTTATTTTTGAGACTGAGTCTCACTAGGTTGCTAAGTTGCCAAGCCAGACTCAAACTTGAGATTCTCCTGCCTCAGCCTCCCAGAATGCTAAGATTAAAGGAGTGGACCACCATGTACAACCAGCCTGTGCTTTTCTAGTCCTGTACAACTGGCATTGTTTTCAGTGCAGTGAATTACAGGTATACATGACAAACATGTACTTGGTGGTCTGACTTTCTTCTCTCTTCCTGTCTTTTCTGTTTCAGGCCCCCTCTTTTCACTGAATGCTGAGGAAATCACAGAGGAGATAGGAAATATGTGGAGAACAATATATAAGCTGACCAAGACCTTTGCTGATGTGCCAGCACCCAGACGCCTGGCAGAGAACGTTAAATTGAAGGTTGAAAAATTCAAGCAGCACCTTCCCATCCTTAGCATTTCCTGCAACCCTGGGATGAAGGACCGGCACTGGAAACAGGTAACTGACCCTGCCTGCTGGGTGGCCCTGCTTGGTCACGGTCCTGTTCCTGGTGCCCTCTGGAAGACTGGAATCATTACCGAGTTCAGATTCTCTGAGAATCTGCTCAGGGCCAGGGGCAGCAGTGGGCCTGATAACCCTCTGAAGGAAGGGAATATCTGGGTTGTGGAGGGAACTTCCCGCCTCTTAAATAGATTGACCCTTTTTGTTGGGAACCCACTGCTGGTGCTTGCATGTTCTAGCTGCGGGCTACAAGAGGTTTCCTTTCCTTTTCTGTTTTCCTAAGAAAATGGCTGCTGGAGGTCCCAGCAGGTGACAAGAGAATTATTAATTCTAGTGGGAAAGCCTTGATTTGTTCCTTGGCTTAGCATACACAAAAAAAGAATATCACATCTTTACCTGAAGCCTCGCTAATATTGCCAGATAAGTCCTGCTCAGGCTGACTTTGGTGTGGAGTTTTGTTGTCCAACAGGCTATGTGCAGAAATAATTTTGCACTCCTATTTCAGCCTTTTGAGGCTATGAGAATAATAAATATCCTCTCTAAAAATAGTTGGGATTTTTATAAGCAACCAAGTGTGAGGGTGATAAATGTGGTGTGAACACTAAGCAAAAAAAAAAAAAAAAAAAAAAAGAAGAAGAAGAAGAAGCAAGAAAATTCACTGTTTCTAAAATAATCATCACATTCAAGGGCTAGCAGTGGCCTTGAAATGCCCTCTATCAGGGAGTTGCTCTCTGTGGAGGTGGAGATGAGACGGAAGAGTCCTCTTTGACTTGTTGTGTCAGCTTTCCATTGTTTGTCAAAATACCTGTGAAAATCAGCTTAAAAAAATGATTTGCTTTGGCTCACCATTTTGGAGACTTTAGTCTATGGTCTCTTGGTGCCAAAAATTTAGGACTCGTGGTAAAACAGAAACATTATGGCAGGAGGATGTGGTGGAACAGAGCTGTTCATCTTTGGCAGTCAGGAAGTGAGGGAAGAGGAGAGGAAAGCAAAGAGAGGTGCTAGGGACAAGATAAAGCCCCCAAAGGCATCCCCAGAGGCATCCCTAACTTGAGTTAGGTCCCACCTCCTAAGTTTCCATCACTTCCCAATAGGCTGTCAAATTATAAAGTCATCAATAGATTAAGCCTCATGACCAATCACCTTTCAGAAGCCCCACCTCTGAACATTCCTGCACTGGTGACCAAGCCTTCAACACATAAGCCTTTGGGGGGACATTCCAGATCTAAACCATAATGCCTGGTTTAAAAGTCCATCAGATTGAAGATGTGGTCTTTGGAAGGACCCAATCTGATGATACATACAATACCTTCAAGAGAATGGGCCCCCAAACCCAGGGTCCAGGAGCGTATCGATCTGTCCAGGAGAAAGAGGTCATGATATGTGAGAAGCTCGGGGTTTCTCTGAGAGAGAATTCAATTTCCCACAAAGCCTTGATATTTGATACCAGGTGAGACAGGGAAAGGTCATGTGAGTACACCTCTAGTCTTGAATGTGCTAGTAGGGACATCACTTGTCATCACTTGTACTCCTGGGATGGCTCCTCCACGGACGTAGTCAGCCCAGAGCTTTGATCAGCTTTAGGGGACAGAGGGAGGGAGGTTGGGTGGACAGGTGAATTCAGGTTTTCCCTGGTATCCAGAATGTCCTTAACTGTACTTAAAGAAATTCCAGGGACCCCATTCCCTCTACCCAGTGCTTCCTGTGTGATGATGCTGTTCTTACATGTGGGTGCTTTAAAAAAATCAAGACTCTTCCTAGCCATTTATAATTCTCATTTATAAATAGATTGGAAAATTATCCTTTAGAATTATAATTAAAAACAATAACAACAATAGCCAAAATCTATTGAGCACTACCTGTGTTCTGGGCCCCATGTTGCATACTTTACTTGGATTCTTCCATTTCATTCTCTCAATAACCCTTTGAAGGAGGGGCTATTATTTTTTCCATTCTACAGAGATAGAAAAACCGAGACTTGGAGACATTAAGTAATTTGTCACATGGGTAGTTAGTGGGTAAGGGAGGAATTGGAATCCAGGTCTGTTTAGCTTAACTAGAAAAATAAAGAGTACCAGGAATATCAAGAGCAAGGGGACAGGCAGTTGGGAGTAGAGTAAACCATGGGTTGGGGAGGACTGTAGTCCCAGGAAAGAAGCTCTTGAGGACTGAGCCCCTCAAGTGGGACCCTAAAGGGCTGAGCAGGTAAAGATGGGTTCAGAAAGGGCAGAGGTCACCAGATGTGCTCAGGTCTGCCTCCTCCCAGGGCCACTTCTGTCTGCATTGTAGTTCATACCTCAAAGTACCCCAGGGACAGCTCCCTGCTGGGGAAGCCACTGTCTCCCTGATACCGATCTCAGCAGAGCCATTTGCACAAATTTTGGCTCAGGAAGGGAGCTTTGAAGCTAACCCACTTATAGCTGTCATGGCTAGAAAATAGATCTCTCGAGCTCATAGAGTCACTGGGCTGTAGTTTCCGGCCATTTCCAGAGGTTAAGCAGGAAAATCAGTACCCCATGTGGCATTTTCAAGTATCAGCAGAGGGGTGGCTACTGTGGTTTACAAGATGGAACAAGGTCACATTTGGAAAAGCTATGCTGGTGTTCTACTCTAGAACTGGTCCTAAGGCTCGGATGGTGCTGTCCAACAGAAACAGCACGAGCTGTGTGTGTTTAAAGTTTCTAGTAGCCATATTTTTTAAAAGAAAAGGAAACAGGTGAATAAATTTTATGAAAATATGTTCCTTAACTAAATATAAATGAAATGTTATAACTTATATGTTAGTCAGTATGAAAAATGTTGGTGTGCAAGGTTTGGAATATGGTGTGTTTTTACACTTAGAGCACATCTAAGTTTTGACACAATTCAGGTGCTTGAGAGCCACTGGGGCCAGTGGCTGCACACTGGACAGTGTTGCTCTTGGGATTAGAGAACCAGATGCTTTGTTAACCTCAAAAGGCAATTTTAAAACTAAATATGCCAATCTCTAAGTCCTAACGATGTGCCAAGTACTGTGCCAGCTGTGTTTCATAGCTGTATCATTTGGTCCCAGAGACAATCACTGTGTTGCTCTGAGCTGTTTTGTCAGGTGTAAGAGAATAAATGAGAGTCAGGGACCAACAGGAATAGTTGTGCAGGCTGGGTACTGCACTATGCTAGGAAATGCTATATTTTTGTGCACTGTAGAGTGCATTGTACTTTCTAGAGTTACGGAGTGAATATCTTGCACAACTGTGCATAGCTGAGAGAGACACTGGATAAGAACTTCAGGTCAGAACTGGAATAAGATTCAAGTCCCCATTCTGCCATTTGTTAACGGAGTAGTCTTGGACAAGATAATTTCTTTATATATAAAATGGAAGTAATCATATATTAGGATCTTCCTCACTGTGTTGTGAGAATGAAATAAGAACATGGAGTTCTGAAATAGTGCCCACTGTATAGTAAGCCCTCCATAAAACATTAATGACTTTTATTATTCCCATTACCTTTGTGTTCAGGAGTGCTCAGAACCTAGTTTGGGAAGCCACTTGGGTTAGCTGGTTCATTCACGCATTCACTCCATAAATACTTGGTGCCTGCCAAACAGCAGGCACCCAGGATGCAGGGCTAAGACAGAGTACACGGCTCCCATCCCCCTTCCTGCTCTGGCATTCTTTAATCCAACGGGGCTGGACAGAGACAAAATTGAGCAGTAAATGAGCTTTTCACAGAGCCTCCTTCCTCTTCAGTCTCCATCTCCTTCTCAGCCTAAGGGACAGATCTTTCAGTCTCTGAGAAGTGTCTGAAGCCATCAGATTCTTCACCAAGGACACTGCTCAGGGATGTTTGTGTTTAGGAGATAAGCCTGGGAAGTATACACACCAGAGGAATGGGAGACTTCCAACAGGTGGGCTCTGTGAGGTGGAAAGGAGGGTATTTTTTGTTTGATTTTAAAAAGTATAATATTAGTATGTATTAATGGTACAAAGCAAAGGGTTTCCTTATGACATCTTCATGCATGTTTGTAATGTGCTTTGATCACAGCCAAGAAGAAGCATTTTGAAGGAGTCCTTCCTCCTCAGCCTCCTATATCACAGAATTTGGCAGTCTACCTGTCTCACGTTCTCATGACCACCCCTTTTACTCAGCAAATCTCACTGCAGCTTCAATCACAAACCCAAGTTTTGGACAGGCCCTCGATGCACAGTGACAAACCAGACCCCCATCCCAGCCCTCTGGGGGTTCACAAATCAGTAGGGGACTCACCCCTAGGGAACCAGACAGTGTGGAATGGCTCTAGGCTGCCTCCCAAATCCTTAGACCTGCACTGTCCAACTCAGTTGTCACTAGCTACATGTGGTTATTAAACTAAATTTGAATTCATTGAAATTTAAAATGGAAAATCCATTCCTTAGTCACACTAGCCATATTTTTCGGTGTTCAGCAGCCTCCTGGGGCTGGTGTCTATGGTACTGGACGGCACAAATGAACAACCTTTCTATTATCACAGAACCCTCTATTGGTCAGCTCTATCTTGGACAATAAATATTTTCTTTTCTTTTTTTCTTTGCAGATTAGTGAGATTGTTGGCTATGAAGTAAGTCCCACTGAAACGACTTGCCTCTCAAATATGCTGGATTGTGGATTTGCCAAATACATTGAAAAGTAAGGCTCATCCCTTTGTTCAGGAAGGTTTTTGGTCCAAGTATGTATGAGTTCCCAGAGTGATACAATTGGCCCCTGACTGGTCAGTTTTCTCCTTCTGGTGTAGGGTGATTTAAGATTAATTAACAGCCCCACTTCCTGCCTCCCCCTCTTTAGCTGACTTACTATGGGTAAGGCTTTCGTTTTCAGCTCATGATGGGTTAGGACTAGTAACTAAGTCAGGGGTTCTTATTGCAAAGGGAAATACAAAAAGTTCTTTGAACCTGAATCTCAAACCCAGTCCTCAGTGACTCAGCCTTCCTGAGACTCAGTTTCTTTGCCTTTAAACAAACAGACAAGCAAACAACAAACAACTAGAAGAAGCTTCCTGAGCTCTAAAATCCCATGAAACATGGTCAAATAAAGGATATTTTCATCTTGTCTCCAAATCCTCCTGGAATTATGTATTAGAATTTGTACTTTTTCAATTGCTATTTTTAGAATCAATCTTAGAACCAACCCTGTTTTCTTTTTCACACTCCCTTCAGGGCAGTAGATGGGGAGATCTTGTGTTGCCAGGCTGAAGACCCCATTAAACAACTGGGTTTGGCTCTAACAGGACATCTGTGGTTCTCAAAGTGAGGGACCCCTCGCTACTAGCCCCTGGGAACTCATTAGCAAGGGACATTCTCAGCCTGACTCACCCTGCAGAATCCAGTTCTGGGCTGGGCCCTGCTGGCTGGGTTTCAACAAGTCCTCCAGTCAGCTCCATCTAAGGCAAGAGCCACTCACCATGTGTCACCATTGAGCCCTTGAAGTATAGCCAGTCTAAGTTTGATGTGCTAGAAGTTAAGAAGACAGGTTGAATTTCAAAGACTTACTTAGAAAAAGAAAGCAAAATAGATGATAATTTTTAATGCTAAAATGATATTTTAGATACAGTGCTAAAATACATTATTAAAATAATTTTATCTTCCTCTCTTTACCTTTTTAAAGAAATGTGGCTGTAGACACTTCAAAATTATGAATATGGCTCATGTTACATTTCTGGTGGACCAAGCTGCTCCAGGCAATAGTGGTACCTGGTGGAGCCTGAAACTCTTCCTCTCACTGGGCAGGCCAGGTCTATTCTCAAGTGCTTCCCCAGCAAATCTCTGCCATTGGAGTGCTATGATGCCCCTCCGAGCACCCCCAGGGCTACTGTCCCTCATAGAGGAGCAGGCCTAGACACACGTACATTTCTACTGCCCTCAGTAACTCTGTCGATTCAACCAACTGTGATTTGAAAATATTTAAGAAAAAGAGTGCATCTGCATTGAACATGTGCAGACTTTTTTCCTTGTCACTATTCCCTAAGCCATGTAACAACTATTTATATAACATTTACATTTTATTAGATATGGTAGTAATCTAGAGATGATTTAAGTATACAAAAGGATTGTGTAGGTTATATGCATATCAGTTGTTAACATAATTAAGTAAAACAAAATGCAACACGCCTTATGATTGTCAGGTATGAGCTACAATGCAAGTGATTGCACAGGGGGAAGGATTAATTAGTTTGTGAATTCACAAAGCAAAGAAAGAGACGTTGACATCCTCAGATGTTGGCATCCACACAGGGTCCTGGAACCAATTCTCCACTGACATCCAAGGAATAATATCTGTTTTGTTAAAGTGTCTCATTGTTCCTCACATAAGATGTTTCCGAGAGACAGCAACTATTGAACACTTACTCTGCACCAGGGATTTAATATACTTTAACCCATTTATCCGTCACAACAACCTAGTGTTATAGCTGATATTCTTCACACTTTACAGATCAGGAAATAAACAGAGGTAAGAGAGATTAAGTAATTAGCATCAGTCATAGCTGTAACTGAAAGAAACAAGAATTTAACACAGGCCAGGCAGACTCTAGAGCCTTAATCATTACCTCTTACTCTCTGAGAGGTTCATTTATCTAAGGAGACAAACTGCAAATAAACATACAGCTACTCTTCCTCTCTCCATGTAGGCATGTTCAAGTACTGCAAATCTGGAGGTGCTGGTGCACTGTCTGAAAAATAAGTGATTAGAATTAATGTGACAATTATGCAATAAAGCATTGTCTTTGCGGGTTCCTGTACTTAGATGGTGTAATTTATAAACAGCAGGATTTTTGTTTGTTTGTTTGTTTTTTGAGATAGGGACTCACTATGTAGTTGAGACTGACCTGGAACTCACTATGTAGTCCAGGCTGGTCTCAAACTCACAGCGATCCTCCTACCTCAGCCTCCCAAGTGCTGGGATTACAGGTGTGTGCCACCACGCCCAGCTAAACAGCAGGAATTTATGGTTCACAGTTCAAGATCTATGCTCTTACAGATTTTGTCTGGTGAGAGCCCATAGATGGCTGTCCCTTCTTGATATATCCTTGCATGGTGGAAGAGGCAAGAGCACTCCCTGGAGCTTCTCTTGTACAGGGTGCTAATCCAACTAATGAGGGTGGAATCTTCATGATTTAATCACTATCAAGGGCCTCTCCTCTTAAGATTTCCCAGTGAGTATTAGGTTCCAATATATGAATAAGAGGTGAGGGACAAGAATATTCAGACCACAGAGGGCATGTAACCTGAGCTAATCTCATGTCTAGGTACTCAGCCACTGCCTATTAATGAGATGTGATTTTCCCTGTGTCCCACTCACACCTTAATTAAGGCAGCTTTATCACAGCTCCTAGCTAATGAGCTTCTCTAGCATATGTAGGTGAGGTCAACTCTTGTTATACTTCGTGGATTTCCAAACTGATTAAGCCGGCACCTTTGCAACCGTTTGCATTTGAAGTCATACCTTGGATGGTTCATAAGGCTCATTGCAAGCAGTTTGTCTTATTTAATTACATCACAACTCTATGAAACGAGGATATCAGGGCCACATCAGACCTATTGGGTCCTTGGCCTTGGCTGCACACCCAGTGAGCGCAGAGGCTAAGCTTTATAACAGTCTCATGCTTCTCTGAGTTGGCATCTACCTTTGTCAATTTGTTCCTGTATTCACATTCAATTTTGGGCCTCTTCCAAAGGCCACATGAGGATGGTAACCATGCTTCTGAAATTCCATTGCTTGGAATTATATATGCCTGGTCTATCCCTCCTTCCTGAGGCCAAATGAAAGTTCTCAGCTCTATTTAATCAGTACATTTTTATTGACCACATGTGAACAGTTCTGTTGCTTGAAAGGGAAGGAAGAAACCCTAGCTTAGCAGTCAGAGGAAATGATATTGAGCCCACATCCCACACTTCCCAGCTGTGTGGCTTTGGTCACATCACTTGCTTTCTCTGAGCTTCAGTTTTCTGACTTATGAGTAAAGATCAGATGGTCTCTTCTACAGTTTGGAATTCAGTGAAAGAAAGGTTAAGGCTGAGAGAATAATTCCTGCTTCTCCTTACAAAAATGTGGTTTTCTGATGATTTGGCCATACCTGGTTTTAGGACCCAGGTCTCCGTGTGGAATCAAGAAGAAAGGAATCTGTTTTCTCCTCTCTTTCTTTCCATTTTCTTTTTTATGGAGCAGGGGTGGTAGATGGTTCTACCCAGAGAGTCATGAAAATAGTAGGTATTTTTGAAAAGGAGAGGGATGAGATGTGGAGCAAAATCCATCACATACATTAACAGATGTGCAAAATATCCATAAGAAATACAAATGTGAGAAAATAAAGATTAAACAAAGATGGATAAGAGAAGTCTTTTTTTCAGTGACTTTAAAATAGAGGTTCTCAGCCACTCTCAGGGTACATTTGGTAACATCCAGAGACATTTTTGGTTGTCACAATGGGCAAGGAGTTGGGATGGGGTAGGTTGTCTGCTACTAGCATCTAATGGGAAAAGGCCATGGATGCTGCTAAACATCTTACAATGCATAGGACAATCTCCCATAACAAAGAATTATTCAGTATAGGGGCAGAGGATACAGTGTGTGTATACTTACCAATTCATGGTAAGGTCATAGCCAATACACCAATAACAAAAGGTAGGTAAATGAGAAAAAAGCATGACACATTTATTTAATCAAAGTTATATGTCATGGAGACATTCAGAAATGAAGACCAAAGTTTCCAAGGAGGAAGTAATTTTATGCTTACATTCCATGAATAATGAACAGCCATGTAGAAATGTGACTAGACAAAAGGATTTGAGCTCATAGAAATAGAGAGAGGGAAAGTCAGATTCTTTTTGGCTTCTTGTGGCATTCCTTCCTTCCTGCAGGGTATGGGTCAGTCCCCTCCGAAATGAGGGTCTTACTCTTAGATAAGGAAGGTAAGAAAATTTGTTTATGGCCATTGATTACATAGAAAGACAGAAAATTTTAGAGTAACATTTTTACATTTTATGACTGAGTTGGAGGAAAGAAGTTCTAGTTTCTATGACCAACCTTGAGGAAGAGGAATTCTGGTTTCTTTGACTCTCCACAGGGAAAGAAGATGAGTAGGAGTAAGAGGGAAGGAGGACAGAGAGACTTTGCTTCTCAGGCTATTTTTTGAGACCTCCCATTCTCCTTTAATTTAATATTCTCAGCCTGTCAAAGCACTATATTTTGGCATATCATTTTATTGAGCTTCAGCTCTGACTATGCTGCATTTTTAGGGCTGCGATCATAAAGTATCACAGCTTAACAATAGAACCTTAAACAGTAGAAACTTATTTTATTATAATTTAGAGACTTGAAGTCCAAGACCAAGTTGTTGGTAGGGCCACTATCTTCTGAGGGCTCTCTTTTCTTGGCTTGTAGATACCAGTCGTACTGGATTAAGCTCATCTCTCATGACTTCCTTTTAACTTAATTACTTCATTAAAGACCCTTTCTTCAAATACATTCACATTCTGAGCTAATGGGGATTAAAACTTTGACATAGAAATTTGGGGGGAATAATACTGAACTCAGTGCTCAAAAAGCCAACAGTTCTGAGTGGGAAACTCTGTAACACATTCAAAGTAGTTGGCAAATCTTAAGCTTTTGGTAAAATTAAAATTTTTTTGGTAAAATTAAAAGTTGTCTTCCAACCAAACTTAAATTTCTCCTCTTCTGTGTTTCTCTGCCTCTTCCTGTTGAAGTTGATGTTGCCGTGTTCTCTCTCCAGACTGGAGCCCATTGGTGCTGCTGCTAGTAAGGAATATTCCCTGGAGAAAAACTTGGAGAAAATGAAGTTAGATTGGTCCAACATGACGTTCAGCTTCGTGAAATACAGGGACACTGTGAGTCTCATCCAACTGAAAACAGCCCCATTATTCTATGGTAGATGATGGAAGTGATGCATTCAGACTGTAGCAGAATTCAGGGGAAAATGATTCCTTTCAGCTGGATTGGTCCCTCCAATCTGCCTCCCTTGGATCAGCCAAACTTCCTCTCATATCACAGGAAAGAGACATTTCAAATCCAAAGGGCCTTTTGATTCACTTCCTCAGTACAAAGGAACTGAGAAAGCCTCCTGAATGAGCATTTCCCAGGGGAACACAGGCTCGCATACCTTTCCAATGCTCCCCAGGGTCCTCAGGCAGTTGTGGGGTGGACAATGCCAAGGGCTTCCGAAACATTCACATGTGCAGGACTCATCTACAGATCTCACTGAACTGCAGGTTGTGACTCCTCAGGTCGGGGCGGGGTGGGGGGGGGACGGGCGGCAGCGCTGCAGTTCTGTAGCTCTGTCAAGCCAAGAGATAACCACCAAGTTTGAATAGCAAGGGTAGACTTGTTTGTTTTCACTAACACCTGCAGATAAACTAGGAGTTTATAGAGTGCATAAGGAGGTGTGTAAACCCCCAGCATTTGCTTCTCTGTCTCTGGGTTCTAGCTTATTTTTAGGATGCAGCATGGGTTAGGGATGGGGCCACTGCTCTGTAAATGATGAGGCAACAGGCTGATGCTCGTGTCTTACACACCATTTGCTCTTAGAGCAGTGCTGCCATTGCCGGCTGTTCATAGAACCACCTGGGATGCTTTTTTTTTTTTTTTTTTTTTTTTACAGAGAGAACTTGGGTCCTTGTGCTTGCAAGGCAAGTGGCAGAACCACTGAGCTAAATCCCCAGCCCTGGGATGCTTTTAAAAACTGCATTTGTTCTTCCTGCTCCTCCACAATCACGGTGTCTATGCATTTATATTTTAAGGGTGTTTAATGTTTAGTGTGGATTAAGAACCAAAACGCTGGGGCTTGGGATTTGGTTCAGTGGTGCTGCTGCCTGCTTCTTGAGCTTGATCCCTGGCAAAAAAAAAAGAATCAAAACACTAAAAATTACCATACTTTCCTTCTCTCCTGGTCTGTATGTGGTCCTACTGTGACTTCTTTCCCCTTTTTATTTTTTATTTTTTTTGGGCGGGTACCGGAGATTGAACTCGGGTCCTTGCCCTTGCAAGGCAGGCCACCGAATCGCTGAGCTAAATTCCCGGCCCCTCTTTCCCCTTTTTATTTCAGCAGTTGTGATCTTTGATTTCATACTTGGATAAGAACTATGTTAAGATGTGGTCTGTGTATGTACCAACTTCCCATGATGAGTGTATTTATTATGTTTTGGAAACATATACTGAAAGAAAAAAAAACTATGGATGAGCCCAGTATGGTAGTGCATGCCTATACTCACAGCTACTTAACAGGCTGAAGTGGGGAATCACAAGTTCAAGGCCAGCCTGGCCAAATTAGTGAGACCTTATCTCAAAATAAAAAGGGTTGGGGATATAGCTCAGTGGGAGAGTGCTCCTGAATTTGATCCCAAGTACTGCGAAAGAAATAAGAGAAAGACAGACACAGATGAGCCAACTGGGTGGGAGAAAACCAGACACATTTGGGCTCATTACCAGGCCCCTACCAGCAAAGCCAGGATACATGCATGGTCTGATTGGACTAGATAGTGCTGTAGAGGCTCTTGGGCTGAGTTGAGGAGTTCAGCTAAGGAACCTGGGAACAGCTTCATTATTGCTGGTCCATCTTCAGAGTTTTCAACTGAAATAGCTATTGACCAGGATCAACAGCAAAACAGGAATGAAGATACCACTGTAATAACAGCTGGACACACATTTCCCAGTGCAGAGTTACTGGTAAAAGGTAAATGAGAGAATGTATCTTAGGCCTAATGTAGCCACACATTAGGTTTAGGCTTGAAAGAATTGAAAACAGGGCAAGAAAGACCAGACTTGCCATAGGGAACAGACCTTTATCAGTTTATTTGTCACAATGGCTCAGGAAGACAAATGCCATCTCAGGAGCTGACCTGGAAGGCACAGTATCCATACATACTTCTAAAATATGACACATCAAATATAACAGAGGTTCCCAAACTATCTTGGTTCAGGGTGGCTTTTATGTCTAAATGTTTTTATCATAATACCTATATGCCAAAGCAAAAAAAAAATGCAACAGCTTTTTAATGAAGTAATTATATCTAAAAAAACCCTTATAAATATTTATATCCCATCAATTTAACAGATTTTAAAAAATAATACATATAAATAGAAATTTTTAAATACTTATCTTTTATTTTTAAGTAACTACAGTAATTACTGTGAGTTGGCCTCAGCACAGAGTCTTGGCCTAAACCAGTCAGATTAGCAGCAGATTCTGCCTGAGCGAGAGAAGGGCAAGAAAGCCAATGGGCCAAAAAGCAAGTAGGTAGGGAAGGAGACAGATGCCCAAATCCACATGTAGACTCTAGTTGTGTGACTGGGCTTATACTATACTTTATTTCTGTGAAGGAGGTAGCCAATTAGTGTCTTTAAGAACATTTTAAAGAAAATAGTAATCCCATCTCTGCAGGGTATAGATGCCTCTCACTGAGGTGAGGTTCTGAGCTGTGAGGCTTTCAGAAAAATTGTGTGTGTGTGTGTGTGTGTGTGTGTGGTGACTTGTGATATTGATGAGGTAGGGTATCTTTATTTGCAGGATACAAACATCTTATGTGCAGTTGATGACATTCAAGTGTTACTCGATGATCATGTGATAAAGATGCAGACCATGTGTGGCTCCCCATTCATCAAGCCAATAGAGACAGAATGCAGGGTAAGAGGAAATGGGTTTGCATGTTCTGTGATACACCATTAGCTCTGGGTTTCTCAGAGGAGGGGAGAGGTTAACAAAGTTAACAAAAGTTAACAAAAAAGCTTACTCTCTCCTGAATGGAGGAAAAAAAAAGACTGCAAAACTAAAATATAAAAATGATCCAAGTAAGCATATGGTTTGCCTAAAGACAAGATCTGAATACACCAAATACAAATATATTTGGAAAGTGTCTTATGAGCCTATGGTAATATAAAATATGAACTACTTGAAGGTAAAGGTTTAGCCTCCTTTGCTCATTGTCTGTAGAAGTGACAGAGACCAAGGATACAGACATTAGGTCAGACTGCCCGGGTTCAAGTTCTGGTTCTACCCTTATGATTGTGTGAACTTGGGCAAGTTACTTGAACTCTTGTGTCTTAGTTTCTTCATCTGTAAAATGAGAATTTGTTAATAACATCTACCTCATAATACTGCTGAATTAAATTTGTTTCCCATTCATAATGATTCAGACCCTCACTCATCACATAATAAGAATTATAACTACTCTTACTACTTCTGTCTTGCCCGAATGTGAGCTTCAGGGGCAAAAACTCTTGCTTATTGCATTTATGGCTATATCAACATTGCCTGCATAAAAGACAGTCAATAAGTAATTATTAAACAACTGAGTGAATGAATGAATGAATGAATCCATCCATTTATTCAGTCCCTGAGTCTGTGGTGCATTGGGGCAGCTAATGATTCAGATATGGAATGCTAAATTCACAGAAATGGGAAGAAAAGCTTGTTCGTGTGCAGGAAAATTTGGATGCCTGGTTGAAGTGCCAAGCCACTTGGCTGTACCTGGAACCCATCTTCAGCTCAGAGGATATCATAGCCCAGATGCCAGAAGAGGGCAGGAAATTTGGCACTGTTGACAGTTACTGGAAATCACTCATGTCCCAAGTGGTGAGATTTTCCCCCCAGCACACCTCTCCAGCAGGAGTGTGGGGTCCTGTACAGATGTTCCTCATTGTGCATGGTGGGCACATCCCTTGGAGCTGTTAAGTAAATTGGATATTTTCAAATTGGATGTAATTTCCATAATTGAGTATAATTCAAACATGGAAATATATAATATAGAAAGCAGAACATTTTTTAAATCTCTCTTCCTTAGAGGTAACTATAAGCAGTTTACATTATTTAGCTATCCTTTCTAATGAGGTAGAAAACTTTGTCATAGGATAGTATGATGTTTTTATAGATTGAGAATCCTATTAGAAGTTAAATAATTGTTTATGCTTACTCCGTTACTTAACAGATGTTTACTTGACACCTGCAATGACTCGGGCATTATTCTGGGAGTCAGAGAATCCTTGCAGCTGATAAGAATTTTTCTGTCTTCATGCAATTTGCTGTCTTATGAGAACATAAGCTTAAATAAATGAATAAAAGCTGCAGCATTTATGAAATAGCATTTGTATCTGGGACTGTAAAGGGGGCCTCCAAACATAGGTGACATTAGAGCAAAGCTTTGAAAAATGAGAATTTCACTGGGCATACAAGGCAATTGGGGCATCTGTTGAGAGGTAATATCATATTCCTTTTTAAAGTCAAATGTGCTCAAATTGGGACTTATTTACAAATAATTTGTCTCAAGGGAATGCATCTTCCCTGGTTGTTTGCAGGAGCAAGACAACTGAGAATTTATAAGGCCCAGCCAGTGGTGCCAATTTATTTTAGTTTCTTTGCAAGTTACAGAAGCCCACTCAAGGTACTCAAACATAAAGATGAAATGAGTGTCCTGTGGAACCGAAGGGCAGAGAACACAACCAGACCGCCCAAAATGATAATCTAGAATCCAGAACCTCTCAGGAATTCACAAGTACTCTTTCCATACTTCTGACCTCTGCTCTCTTTCCATGCCTACTTCAGTCTCTCTGCAGGGTGGCTTGCTCTGTCACTTAGTCACATGGCAACAAATAACCCCCACATAGCTCCAAACCCCCTAGTTCAAGGAGCCATCCCAGATCAGAATGTTATGATCTGGACTGTAAATCCCTAGGAGTTAAAATGTAATTGATTCAGTTGGTTTCAGGTGCCAAACCCCTATTCAACCCATTACCAAAGGAATGATATGTTAAATGAGCATTCACCTCTAGGTTGGAGATGGGGAGGATGGGACTAGGGAGCAGTTAATTTGGAGAGGGCTGATCACACATTCATGGTCATGGCCAATCTCAGAATTTGGGGACCCTATAATGATTTTAACTTTAT